ATTAAACCAGGATTCCCGATGATATCCTCGCGTCTACTCGATTATATTTCAGGCATCGCGAGTGCTTGAAGGTAGTTTCGAACCGTTGATGTATATCGGATTACAGTATTCATATGCAAACAATACGAAATTGGCGTTGGATTTTTTGAATGATGCAGCCATAAGTTCGGGTGAAAATGCACTTGTTCTTCATGAGCAGGGATGCATTCATTACATGATGAAACAGTGGGAAAGTTAGTGATCTCTTCAGCATTCATCTTTGAGTCAGTGAACGAATATGCAAACTTTGTTCTGATTTACAATGCTGTTGCCAACAAGCAAACGACTCGAGCAATTTTCCGCATCGAGTTGAAAAATCAGCTGAGTGAGAATATTTGAACAAAGTTCAATGAATTGTATTGATAAAGTGTGCTTATCATTGCTACGAAGTGATGAAAATTCATAGTAATGATACGCAAACTCAACAAAAAATATTGCTCACTGTGGATATCAACAAGCATAGTGGATTGAAAATATAGCAGGTGATTTTAAAAGAACTATTCTTTTTCCGTTGAAGGTGCTGAAGAACACTTCACAAGAGCATTGAAGTTGGCCTATGGTTTAACGGATGCTGATGAAGTATGCGACATTATGGAGTTACTTTGGAAACCAATCAGTCAATTTTGGGAGCCATTACTCAACAATTTAGGGCATACGAAACGAAAACTTGGAAAATATTTGGACGCTGTTAAATTTCATCAGTTAGTTTTTACTTCTAATTCAAAATATTTGTTCGAGTTATAGTCATATAGTAGTTAATTGCATGTGCAGATTTGTTGAGTGGATATAAGCAAATTTTAAAGAAAATGTTTCAACATTTTTCGTTAAAGAAAAGTGCGATGATGCAGTTGCAGAAAATTTAATCAGTTCTTTGGTCATTTTTATCTGGAAAACAGACTTTGAGATGTCATTCATTGAGTAATTACAACTTATTGCCATAGTATAACATCCATAGAATAATTACACCAATTCTTTAATTCATTATTTCTATGTTTGCCATCCTTTGAGGAAAGCAATAGTATTACGTCCGCAGAAAGCAAGTACAATTGGAGCTATGGCCGTGGCGTTTGCATCAGCGGGTCGGGTCGACGAAGCAGCGATTCAATTCCATAATGCGCTCTCTCTTTCACCTCACGATCAGGTTGGGGTTTGCCTTTCTAAATTGATACCTTTAACTCTATTTCGACTACTTTCGTTGAAAAAATGTGCGGAGTGTAATTTCGCTTCGAATTCTATCGTAAATCACTGGAATGTTTTTAAATAAGATTGGTATTTGTGCATTGGATAAATTTGATCGAACAATGAAGCATCGAGAAAGATTCATTATCTGAAAAGTCTATTCCAATGTCATCACATTACTCGTCTGAAAAGCATGTTCGTCGAAATGCAAGTTGAACAAACGAAAGTAAAGCAGAGTTGCTCGAGTCATAATGATGCGCAATGAGCGCCTTCCTTTTATGAGCTTTCTGTGGATTACGTAAAACATACGTGTCGACTTGAGAAGGTTATCACTCCTCGTTTAGATCTCCTCTAATCTACAGTCTTTTCGGACTTGTCTTTTTCTCAGTGTCGTCACCC